CCCCCCCCCCCCCCCGGACCCCCTGGCCAGGGGCGTGCCGCCCCCTGGACCCCCGGCTCACTGACCGGGCAGCGAGACCCTCGAATACTCTGCATAGCGTGACTAGATTGAGGGGCGGATATAAGAAGTTCATGGATTCAAAGCATCTTAACCAGATCCATGTTCATCAAGAGCCAGTCCTGTCCAATCATGGACTGAGGGTTCCAATTCAAACCTCACGATCAGTGAGTAATTCTCCTCGAATCTTCACAACAGATTTGAGAGAGTTCATATCGAGAGAAAGACCGATGCAACAAGTCATTCGTTCATTCCAATGTGAACGACTGATTCCTACGGTCCTCTCGGGATGTCAATGCTGCTCATATGCGGCCAAACTGTTGGTGTTCGACCAACTTACGAACGTTGCTTTGTCCAACCAACGACAACGTTCTCACAGGAAGAAGTCTCCAGAGATCGAGTATCCTGGGGTCACTATCAATGTGATCGGCAGAGGGAAAGCCTCAGGTCCTAGTTCCGATGACTCTGAGACAAGTCGTTCACCGACCGTCAGAGAAATCGCTAACGAGTTTAAAGGAATCTACCAACGCACTCCGACACGAACATGAGCCATTCCCCCTATTAACTATCGGAGGTTAGCCAGAGGAGTTAATTCTGATGATGAACACTCAGCCATTGTGGAGTCCCAATCATCAAGCTCTATCGTTGGACATGAGAGCTTCGCCCACATGGCAGACAATTCTGAAGATCTTTCAAAGAGGGTTGCTGAGCAAGACGTTATGCCCAAATCACAGCAGAAGACCCTTAATGAACTCCTGGCCCTGTTGACTCAAATCGTCGCAGACATGACCAAATCTCAGAAGATAGACTCGCCACCTAGGCAAGAATCTTCCCGGAGAGAAAAAGCGTCTTTATCCCTACTTTACACAAGCAAAGGGAAGAAAAAAGTGGTTGATGACACTGCTTCTGACCAAGAAGCCCACAACCTGGAATCTTCCTCTGATGAAGGAAGAGAGTCGGAGAATGAGCAGAATCTCCAGTCTGCCAAAATGGAAGAATTAGAAGCCCACCTCAATGTCATCGCTAATAGAAGTGAGCTCCAAGACGAGGGAGTTTCCAGGCCCTATCCTGCCGCCACCTCAATGTCATCGCTAATAGAAGTGAGCTCCAAGACGAGGGAGTTTCCAGGCCCTATCCTGCCGAATGGGGTGCTACATTATCCTCCAAAGTTCGAAGTCCCGACGCTACAAACTTTTGACGGCACGGGATCACCGAACCAATATATCTATCATTTTAAGTCACAGACTGGGAATATGATATCAAACGATGCCATACTGGCTCGATTGTTTATTGGCACCCTCAAGGGAGTTGTCTTTGAATGGTTCAGGAAACTGCCTGCGGAATATATCCAAAAATGAACAGATCTAGAGAGACTCTTCCTATCAATATTCTTTGAAAAGGATACAGAAGTCTCCATCCATACCCTTCTCGCTACTAAGTAGAAAAAGAGGGAGTCCATCAAAGCCTTCGTTAAAAGGTTTCGAAACATGGCTCTGCGATGTCCGACAGGTATGACACAGTGTACCTTAGTGGAGACCTATCGATACAACTTGCAAACCGACCTTCTAGCATAAATAAGGGTTGCAGAATGCCGTTCCTGGAGATAACTAATCTCTCAAGACGAACAGGCTCAAAAGATTATTGTCAGGATCAAAGCTGAAGAACAAAGTAGACAGGATCAACCTAAGCAATCGGACCAAGCCCAATCTTTTCAGTCAAAAGGAGAAGATACTATGACCACTGAAGCCAATCCTCTTCAGTAGGATGGTGGGTCCAACAACTATCACGTTAACAATTACCTCTGATAGTCAAACTTGTTGGATAGTGACCCACTAGGCGATGTGCCATGTCTACCCTTTTTCCCCCCTGCACTTGTTCAAGACTGAGAGGTTGGTTTATTTGTAGTTCATTGGATTATGAATAATAAATTTTTGAGTTGTCATGTTTAATAGAATACCTCTGTCAATTACGAAATCTGCCAAAACTATCAAGTTAACAATACACCTCTGATAGTCTGTTTCCCCCAAATTCCCCCACCAATCCTCTTCAAGTAGGATGGTGGGTCTATCAAAACTATCACGTTAATGATTACCTCTGATAGTCTATTTTCTCTATCAACTTATCAATCCTCTTTAATAGGATGGCAGGTCTACCAAAACTATCATGTTAATGATTATCTCTAATAGTCTATTTTCTCCATCAACTTGCCAATCCTCTTCAATAGGATAGCAGGTCCACAAAACTATCACATTAACATTTACCTCTAATAGTCCATCAACTTGCCAATCCTCTTTTACAGGATGGCAGGTCCACAAAACTATCACATTAACGGTTACCTCTGATAGTCCATCAACTTGCCAATCCTCTTCAATAGGATGGTAGGTCCACAAAACTATCACGTTAACAGTTATCTCTGATAGTCAAACTCATCAGATAATGGCCTACCAGGTGATGTGTCTCTATTCTGACTTCATGGATAGTGCCCCACTAGGCAATATGTCATATCTACCTTTTTTTCTTCCCCTGCTAAGTCTTAATCAAGACTGGGGGTTGGTTACTTGGAATCTATTGGATTAAGACTAACGAATCTTTCACATTGTCGAGCTAACATTACACTTCTGATGATCATCACCCCACAGAGTATGAATGCAGCTTGCATCACTCCCAATTTATCACGTTAATATCATACCTCTGACAATCTACTTATTAATCATTGTCAATAGGATAATAAGTCCTCAAAGTTGCTCTAATTGCAATAAAATTCTGTCATGTTAAATATTACACCTCTGACAACCTACTTATCAATCATCTTCAATAGGATGATAAGTCCCCAAAGTTGCTCTACTCGTAACATTTTGTTGTCACGTTAATATCACACCTCTAACAACCAAATCAACTTATCAATCCTTATCAATAGGATGATAGGTCCTCAAAATTGCTCCAATCGCAATCTTTCCCAGCAAGACACTAAGTCTTCAAAATCTTATTCAAATCACAAGTATCAAAATTCATCGCTTCTGGTGATAAACTCACCTTGCAAGTTTCCCCAACGAGACATTAATTCCCAAAATGTTGTGCAAGTCACAAGTACACAAATTCCTGTCACGTTAACATCACACCTCTGACAAAATCCACTTATTAATCATCGTCAATAGGATGATAAGTCCTTAAAGTTATTCCAATCGCAACACAAATTCTCGTCATGTTAACACCAAACCTCTGACAAATTAACTTATCATCTCTCTTCAATAGGATGATAAGTTTACAAAGTTTCTCCAATCGAAACACAAATTCCTGTCATGTTAACATCACACCTCTGACAAAATCCACTTATCAATCCTTGTTAATAGGATGATAAGTCCTCAAAGTTGCTCCAATCGTAACACAAATTCTATCACGTTAACATTTACCTCTGATAGTCCATCAACCCACCAATCCTCCTCAAATAGGATGATAAGTCCACAAAGTTACTCCAATCGCAACATAAATTCCTGTCATGTTAACATCACACCTCTGACAAAATCCACTTATCAATCCTCGACAATAGGATGATAAGTTCTCAAAGTTGCTCCAATCGCAACACAAATTCTCGTCATGTTAACATCAAACCTCTGATAATTAACTTATCAATCCTCTTTAATAGGATGATAAGTCCTCAAAATTTCTTCAATCGCAACATAATCCCGTCAAGTTAACATCTCACCTCTGATGACACAATCCACTTATCGACTCTCGTCAATAGAGCGATAGGTCCACAAACCTGTCAAGTTAACATCACACCTCTGACGACCAATCAACTTATCAGTCCTCTTCAATAGGATGATAAGTACTCAAAGTTACTCCGATCGCAACATTTTTTCCGTCAAGTTAACATCACACCTCTGACGACCAAATCAACTTATTGACTCTCTTCAATAGAGCT